TCCATTAATGGAGTCATTCTCAAGAAAGGCAGGAGAAACTGGGCTGTATAATCCTCATCCCTGCAGTGCCCTCACACTTGGACCCCTGCATCTGCACATCTTCCACCAGCTGCTGATTGCTTGAGTAGTTTGTATGGGAAAGGCACAGCTCAAGTGCTTGCCATGAAGGTTGGCTTACAGAACTAATGAGCCAGTAGAATAGTCAGGAAAAAGGGCAGGGAATGGGGCTTTGACTGGGTAAGCCCCTGGTCTTCTTCCAATAAAAGATTGTCTCCTCTTTCAAGCTCTGCTCAAGGCATTCTGTTTCCATAGTAAAATTCTTGTACCCCTGTGCAGCAAACTCCTAAGGCCAAGAGTTGTTCCAGTTTTCACCCTTTCCTCAAATTAGTGTTTTGTTCTGGACACACACTTACGTTTTCATGTGGGTTTTTTTCTCCTTACTGTCTAGCAAGAGTAAAACTGCTGGAATTCTTTCTGGTTTCATCCTGGAAGCTTGAGCTTGATATTTTCCTTTGTAACTATGAAACATTATTAATTCTGCTTGACCTGTCCTTGAGCCACAGTTTTCTAGGCTATGTCACCCCACCTTTATCTAGAGCGTGGCCCACCTGAGTGCAAATGGGAGCATGGAGAGTTATGTTGGTTTTCTGAGGTGTTGCTTCACTCTTTACTTTTCTCCCACTACCTCCTCACTCCCTGATAAAGTAAATATTTATGAAAAGTACCTGGAGAAAAACCCTGTGAGTCACCAGGAGAGTTTATCATGATCATATAATCTCCCCTTGACTTGACTGAATCCTTCTCCTTTAGATGTGAAAACTCTTGTTGAGCACTCAGACTTGAACTGAAATGGTGAAATTATTCTTTTCACTTGATGCTCAAGCTTCTTTGGTTTAAATGTTTTCTAGTGGATGATAGTGTCAATTAATGGGTCAAATTCCTATATTAAGAGTAATTCTGTAGCCTAATGATTTTTCATCAGGGTAAAGTAGAATGTATTTGAAAATATTTGGCCTTACAAAAATAATGGAGAAATTAATCTTCCTGTGATGATAATCGTTGCTGTGCTGGGACACCGTGTTATGTGTTCTGCACATTTCTCAGGTTCAATTTTCTGCTCACTTCCCTCATACAACCAACCTGCCTGCAAGTGTAACAGCTGGAGAAAGAGTGGTTTTATTTGGGGAAAAGTGTGAGTGGCTTCTCTTAGATCAGAAGTATGGAAAGCACAAGGACTTTGAGAATGTGACATCACTGGAAAATGTCATGTTCTCCAAGAGGTTCTGAGCCACGGCTTCATAAGCCAAACCTCCCTCTGCCTGAGGCCTGGGGAAAGTGAAATTAGAGGGGTTACAGCCCTTCTTATGTAGCTCCTTCCTTCAGCTACTTCATATAGAAGGTGCTTCGAGGACTTGAGCACAGAGAATGACAGTGACTGGGGTGACACCAGACTGTGACCTGTCACTGGTGGGGTCCCACAGGGACCACCTTGGGCCCTGTGCTCTTCAACATCTCCGGCAATGACTTGGACACAGGACTGGAAGGGACACTGAGCAAGTTTGATACAAAACTGGGAGGACCTGTTGAGTCCCTGGAAGGCAGGGAGGCCCTGCAGGGAGACCTGGACAGATCAGAGGCCTGGGAATCACCAACCATGGGAAGTTCAACAAGGGATATTTCCGGATTCTGGCCTTGGTATGGGGCAATCACAGCTGCACAGGTAGACTGGGGAATGAGATGCTGGAAAGGAGTGCCAGGAAAGGGACCTGGGGGCAGAGAGACCACGACAGATCAGAGATGGACAATCCCCAACCATGGGAAGTGGAACAAGGGCAAGGGCCGGATTGTGCCCCTGGGCCGGNGCAATGACTTGGACACAGGACTGGAAGGGACACTGAGCAAGTTTGATACAAAACTGGGAGGACCTGTTGAGTCCCTGGAAGGCAGGGAGGCCCTGCAGGGAGACCTGGACAGATCAGAGGCCTGGGAATCACCAACCATGGGAAGTTCAACAAGGGATATTTCCGGATTCTGGCCTTGGTATGGGGCAATCACAGCTGCACAGGTAGACTGGGGAATGAGATGCTGGAAAGGAGTGCCAGGAAAGGGACCTGGGGGCAGAGAGACCACGACAGATCAGAGATGGACAATCCCCAACCATGGGAAGTGGAACAAGGGCAAGGGCCGGATTGTGCCCCTGGGCCGGGGCAGCCCTGGCTGTGTGTGTGGGCTGGGGATGAGAGGCTGGAGAGCAGCTGCAGGAAGGGTCCTGGGGGTCCTGGTCCATGGCCAGTTGTTCCTCAGCCAGCAGTGCCCTGGCAGCCAGGAGGGCCAACGTGTCCTGGGGGCATCAGGGAGGGGATTGTCCTGCTCTGCTCTGCCCTGGGGTGGCCTCCCCTCAACATTGGGGCAGTTTGGGGGGACACAATATAACAAAACCATTGGAGAGTGTCCAAAGGAGGCAACGAGGATGGGGAAGGGCCTTGATTGGAAGCTGTGTGAGGACACTGAGGGCACTTGGTGTGTTCAGCTGGAGCAGAGGAGACTGAGGGGAGACCTCACTGCAGTTCCAACTGCCTGGGCAGGGGCAGAGGAGGGGCAGGGACTGAGCTCTGCTCTGGGGGGACCAGGGACAGCACCCAAGGAATGGCTGGAACTGTGTCAGGGCAGGGTCAGGTTGGATCCCAGGAGAAGGTTCTTCTCCCAGAGGGTGGTTGGGCACTGCCCAGGCTCCCCAGGGCAGTGGGCACAGCCCCAAGCCTGCCAGAGCTCCAGGAGGGTTTGGATGATCCTCTGGGGCACAGGGGGTGACTCTTGGGGCTGGGCCTGTGCAGGGCTGAGGGTTGGACTGATGGTCCTTGTGAGTCCCCCCCCAACTCAGCACATCCTGTGACTCTGTGCTGATTTTAGGTATGTTCCTGGGAGATATGTGATAAACTGTGGGGAAAAAGCCTCCAAAAAGCAAGGCTTTCCTGTTGGAAGTATATCCTCTTTGCCTGAGACAACCAACTTGGACTGTGTTCTCTCTTGCTATCGTGCTAATTAGTCAAATGCTTTTCAGAAATTAATCTTTAATTTTTGTTCTTGTCTGATGAGATGAGCAGAATTCAGCCAGTCCAGTGGAAGGTGAAAATTGTGAGATCGTGAAGTTCTCCTTCAGTGAATAACTGTGGATTTCCCAGGTCACTCTGCCCTTACCTGTGGCTAAGCACATTGATGCTTAGGAAAGCAGGAGTTCATGTTTCTTGGGTGTTTTTCAGAAGAAATGAGTATATGAAGGCATGGAAAATTAAATGGAAAAGAAAACCTCTAAAAGTAATGGAAAATTAAATTCAACTTTCCCTTTAACGCATTTAGAACTTATTAAAGCTTTTTGTTTTAACTTGTGGTGCCTGACCTTGTTATATTCCTTCTGTGAAAGGCTTATTTGACTGCTGAAATCTACACTGAGTATTTCTGACATAACTGGAACCTTAGAAACAAAGAATCTTTTGAGAAGGGCCAGGGCCAGCTCTTAAGAGGAGGGCAACTTCAACCTAATTAGTCTAACTGTGCTTATCACAATTTGATATCTGTTTATGTGCTTTCTGATACATTGCTTGGCAGCACAGCTGGAGATAACCTTTTCTTGTGTGGACTTAGGTGGCATAAAGCAAATGTGTACAATTTCCTTTTTTTTTTGTTTTCCACTGAGGCCTATTTGCTGAGAGAGATTTCTGTACAATCTCCTTCACTTTTTTCCTGATAACAGAGATTACAGAAATGTGTTTGCTGTTAGTTTGAGTTTTTGTTTTATTTGGAGGGAACCGGTCTCGATTATGACCTTTTAGTAGAAAGCAAAGTGTGATTCATCAAGGTCCCAGCACTGGCTGGGGTGGAGTTGTGGGTGAGGAGGAGCCCAGGCAAGGTGGCAGTCACCAGAGAACACTTCTCATGGGAAAATCGTGTGGTCATTGGATTTTCATAAAACACAGCAATCAGTGACACCTTTAAAGGGGGAATCCCCATCCTGGTCCTTTGGTTCTGTGACCTTGTGTTGAAACTATGCAGCCTCTGAATTTTCCCATCATTCCTTTGAATGCTGAGGAGGCCAGAAGTCACCACAGGTTGTCCTGTGAAGCACAGCTGTTGTTCCTAATTCTGTCACTAATTTCAATGCCCATGTTCTATCCGTCATGGGAACTGATCAAAACTGAGCAGCACTTCTTGTGAGAGACCATGCACAGAGAAGAGAATCATGGAATCCCACAATGGTTCGAGTTGGAAGGGACTTTAGGATCATCCAGTTCCAACCCCCTGCCATGGGCAGGGATGCCACTCACTGGAGCAGGTTGCTCAAGGCCCCACCCAATATATGAGATGAAAGAAATGGCTGTGGAATTGTTCTGTTGGGTGGCTGGTGTGGAGGCCACCATGACACAGGTGTTTCTTTCCAGGATTTGTCTGCAGACGGTCAATAGGGCTCTTGGGGATCGTATTCCAGAAGACAAAATGCAGTTTGTACAAATAAATAGCAGAGTTATTCCCAATGTCATTTAATTCTGGTTAATATCCTGTTAAATATTTAAAAAAATAGAACCAGCAAGACTGGGAACTCCTCTAAAGTTTAAACCAGCAAATAATAGCCATTTGTAGAGTGATTGATTTGCTGAGTCTTACTGAGTGCTTTAAATATATCAGGGTCAGGTTATCTGTGCCAACCCAAAATTCAGATAGGAGGCTTACGACATGTAGATATGGACTTGTTCGAGTCATGAAGGAAAATTCTGTCAAGTGTTTCCCACACCTCCAGCAAGATATAAAAGTTGAAGGTCTCTGAGATTTCCCCACGTTTTGTTCTGCTGCGTCTTGTTCTCATCCGAAAGAAAAATGAAGAGACTTGTGAGTATCTCCATTTCTGTTGAACTCTTAATACTGTATGTTCCTAATTCTTAGAAACAAAAGGAGAGAGGAGAAGATGCTCAAGTGGTACAGTACAGGATACAGTGTGTTGTTTCTTTGGTGGTTCAGTAAGAAACCTGCATTCCTTGGGTCAGTGGAGTCTGTTGCAGCATCACTTGAGCAAAGAGTGAAGAAATGGTTACCGTTCACAAGGGGAGTTTATTTGTGATTTAATAATTGCAGTTGTAGAGGCAAATCAAGAAGTAACAAGGCATCAAGGAGGGACTTCTGAAAATACAAAAAAAATTATTTGTTAAGTTATTCTGCTTTTTCAGTTACAGGCAAAAGAGACCCAAATAGCGAGAAGTTTGCAATGGAAATTGTTTTCAACTAATATACGTGTTAAATGGGTCATTTTTCAAACTGATGCTACAGCTGCTGCCCTCAGTTCATAGTGTTTTGAAGTCACTGCCTGGTGTTTTCCTGAGTGAGATGCTCATTCCTTTTACAGGCTGCAGTCCTCGTTTTGCTGGAAGTCTTCTGGGCTCAGACTTCTGCACTGAACGTAAGTAGATGATGAACCTTCTCCTGAATGTGCTCATTTAAAATGTGTTGGATCCCTTGGCAGGGAGAATAAAATAGGCAGAAAAGCACAGAAGGAACTTAGAAGTTGGTTATTGCCAAAGAAAAAGAGTTTTTGCCAGAGGTGACAGTCAAGGCAAAGAGGTGGTTCTGTGCAGGTGCAGAGTAAAGGAAATCTGGGGAACACAGGTTCCCTCAGCTCCTGCTAAAATTCGGAAACTGGTGCAGTGTCCTACCAGTCCCAGATGACTGGCACGTCCCACTGTGGTTTTCCTCAGCCTGCAGGAGGGCCCGTTGCACGACCGATCTCCACCTCAGGAGCCTCCTGAGACTGCTCGAGGGTTGTGAAGGGATTTAGTGTTTACCTAAAGCAAATTGGGTTTTGTTGCACCTGCTCAAGATGAAGGCAGATGATGAGCAATGACCCTGTTCTGTTTGCCACAGACCTTTGTGCTGCGGGAGCCTGGCAGTAACTATGTCACTGGGACCATGACCATCCACAACGAGGAGCACGTCGTCGACGTCCACGTCCGCTCCGGCGTCTACTCCTCCGATACCATTTTCGACTACTCCCGTGTAAGTAAAGCAAAGAACCGGCCTCCACTTCATCTCCGAGCAAGTTTTTAAACTCAGAAATTATTTTGGTCTGTTTTCACCACGTGCTGCCCTGAAACCCGTTTCTTTGAAGCCTCCCATCGCCTTTCCCCTCTTAGGCCATCTTCTTGTCTCATCCATACAATGGGTTGGTTTAAAAGGCTTGTAATGAAACTGGCACTTCATGACAGTGAGAAGAATGTCACCGGCCTCAAGGAGAGCAGAGTTGAAGATGGGCTGCCAGCACTCAGGTGCAGCAAAGTCTGCCAGAAATGATGCTTCCAGTCTTACAGACAGACACTGGGACAGGCTTCCATTCCCAGGGGTGACAATGTAAATGCAGAGTCATCCCACAGCAGCCTGTGTGGCCACTCAGGGTTTCTTTTGGATTGCCCTAAAGTGGAGACCATCAACCAGCATCAGTGTTAGCCATTTTTAGTTAAATATTTAACCGTCATTCTTTTCGTCCCAGGGGTATATTGCCACCAGGCTGTTCTCCCGAAATGCCTGCTTTATCATGAAGATCAAAAAGGAATACATCCCCGAGCTGCGCGAGATCGGACGGCTGGCGTTTGAGAAACAGGTGAGTCTGCAGTGAACCCCTCACTGCTCACAAGGAGGGCAGGATGGGTGGGGTGTGGTGGGAGCCCCCCACTCTGCCTCCAAAAACAGTTGCTCTGTTGCTGTCTTAGCGATGATGGAGCTGATCCGACAAGATAGAACTTTCAGGGAATATCATGTAGAGCATTCTAATGAACAATCACGGCCCCCCTGCAGTTTTAAAGTAGGCTGTCAAGGTGTCTTGAACTGTACAATCCCCAGTGCTTGAAACAGACGTAATTTGACTATTTTGAGGTGGTCACAATATAAGTCTGGGAAGACTTGCCCTTTTTTTCATTGTCCTGCTGATATTTTGAGCTTGACACAGCTTGATTTTTTTTTTTTTCTGCAGAACAGAGCATAGAGATCAATTTATTTTGACCAGACATTGGCTTCCCTAATCAGACTGAGGTTTCAGAACATGACTGGAAGTATTTCTTGGAGATGGCCTGGAGTTCTGGCCCATTTTGTGCCAACCCAGCAGTAGCACATTTACAGCAAAACTTACTGCCAATTAATGTAATTCAATATGGCAGAAATACAGCTCAGGTTTGCTGTGTTGGCAGAATTATTATCTAGTGAATTTTGTTTCCGAATAGATTGAAAATATTTATTTCTCTTTAAAGGCATGGAGCTTCTTTAGCTAATGTTTTTTTGTGAGGCAAAGGAAGGTGATTTTCGGTTTGGGAACCAAAGCTACATCACTCATGCTGTGTAACCTCTCCTTTTCAGACCATGAAGGATGTTTACTCTCCAAATAACGTGTGGACCCTGTTTCAAACTGGCAGTTCTGTGCTGGGGCATTTGAAGGACTGGATTCTCTATGGCAAACACATCGAAAAGCTCTGCTCGGGGCTGCCCCTCTACCAGCTCACAGCCACTGAACGTGAGTCACAGATCAGAACACTCTGCTCTGGTCCGGTGCATAACCTGCTCCTCAAACCTTCCTGTCCTTTAAGTCCTCGTGGTACCTTTGAGCTGTGCAGACATTTCCTCCCACTCAGTTACACCACAAATGTTTGGTGCAGTTTTGGGACCGACAGGAGCCTTGAACAGGGGATTGAGATTTTTTCCTAACTGGATACGGGGATCTCATCACTGATCATATCTTTGTCTTCTTGTTTCTTGTAGCACAAGAGAACACTGATGGCTGTGCCAGTGCAGGAATTCCGAGTATTTTGGGCCTTAACATCTGTGAACAGCTCATTGCAACTGGATCTTGACATTCCTGCTGCTAGGAATTGCCTGGTTTCTTTGCATGCTTTTCTGATGGAGACCATGTTCTCCAGCTGGAACAGAGCTCGGGTATGAGCTCAACTTGCCTATTCAAAGCTTTGATGTATGACAAAGCTATGATATACAAATAAAGATAATGCTTTAATAATCGAGTAAAATGCTTTGCCCTTTTTATTCATCCAAAATCAGAACAGAATTAAAGTGGGCCTTGCCAGTTTTCCTGCAGAAGAGACACATTTCCCTTTGGTTTGCTGCTGTGCTCAGGCTGCAGCGTGGCCCAGGCATTGCTTTTGCTTCATGCCAGTGAAGAATCAGAAGCTGAATAGTGGAGAACTTCACTTTGGCATCAGCATCCAGCCTCTTTAGGTGCTGGTTCACCTTAGGTACAACTGCTGGAGGGAGGGAGCAAACAGGTGAATGGAGACAAAGGAAGGGAGCAGATCGACATTGCCAACATTTGCAAATAAATGAATTGAATTCTGTGGGGCCAGTGGGAGTTGGCAGCGGTTTTAATGAGTGCAGAGAGGTCTTGTTTTGCCATTTTCAAACCTAGATAGAGGAGACTGTCCCAGTCCTAAACAATTTGTCACATGGAATGAAGTTTCCCTTTCACACAATGCCAGGGCACAGAGAGCTGTGACCACTTGCTGAGTGGCCCACATTGGAGAGTCGTTTGTGTCAGGGGCTGATGGAAATAAGGATGAGGCAGCACTGATGCCACCTCCCTGCTCTTGTGCTAATCCCAAGGAATGGTGGAACTCCCACATCCTTTCCATCAGTGCTTGGAAGGGGTGGATATGTTGGGGCTGAAAACTGAATATTTACTCTTTATTGGAGCCTTGGGCGGCTGCCAGAGGACAAGACATTCCTTTGGAGAAAACGGGCTCCAGGTCTGCAAGTTGTTATTTTCAAATCAGACTCCTGGTCAAACCATCTGCTATTTATTAAAGGAGCATTTTATCATATGGTGAAAGCTGTCCTTTTGGATTATTTGTATCCAGAACAGGCTGTGGGTTCTTGGTGAGCCAAAGAATGTTTCTGGAGAGTCAAATTTTGGTAATTAAATCCAGAAATACTTGGTTTATGTTCTATGAACTCTGAAACAAGCCTCAATATACCTCATTATCTGCCATTGAATTCTGAGTTAGGGAGTTGTGTTCCTGCCCTTCAAGTACTCAAAAATGGAAGAAGATTGTTTCTAGCTTTAATTTTAGTTGCCAGTCTCATTGTATCAGTCAGGCCTGTGAGGAATATATTTGCATTTTGACTGCTGTGTTTGTTGTTTGGTAAATAAAGCTCCAGCTCTCCATCCACTCACACCACCTCCAAAGCCCACGTGTCCAGCTCACGGGAAACTTCTGGGTGCAGAACCCCGAGGCAAATCTGTTGTGGTGTTGCTGCACCTTTTGGGGTCCAGCTCACAACAAAGACAGAAGGAAGTGCAGGAAGAATCATAAACCAAACAACCCACCTGGCCATGTTCTGTTTCCCCCCAGTGTTTTACAGGATGGTCTGTTCCCATGTGAAGACACATGGGCAAGTTGCAGCTCTGAATTTACTGCCCTTGAGCCCAGGCCTGTTGGTATCACCAACAGCCTGAAAGGTCCTGCTAGAAAAGGCTGCAGAGCAAAAGAAATTTATTCCCAATTTAAAATAACTAATTACAGGGCAAACAGGAATGTACACCCAGCTCTGAACAAAGCAGAGAAAAGGACATATGCAGGAGGAAGAAATTTGATATTTTATTTATTGACACTGTATTTGCCCTTGTGATTTCCTGCCATTTCACTCTTTGCTGACTAGGCCACAGTTTACAGTATGTTCTATGTACATGTATTACACTGTAATTAATCTATTTTTCTTATCTTGCAGGTGGTTGATATTATTACTGAACTACAGGGAAAGACCAAGGAGGTAAAAAGCAGCAACAACAGGTAAAGTGTCCCTGAAGGTCAGGTCCATCTGTTGCCTTAAATAATTGTAGCCTGAAAATGTTGGCAATCTTTAAATCAGTCTGTCAGCAAAGGGTCTGCTCTGAATGGTCATGATCCAAAGGAAGTCACAGAATCATGGAATTGTAAAGTTTGGGAAAGACCTTTAAGTTCACCAAGTCCAACCATCAACCAGCACCACCACCATGTTCACCACTAAACCACTCAAGTACCACATCCAAATGTTTTTTGAACACCTCCAGGAATCGTGACTCCACCACTGCCCAGGAGAGCCTATTCCAATACTTAACAACCCTTTCCAGGAAGGAATTTCCCCAATATCCAACCTGACCCTCCCCTGGCACAGCTTGAGGCCGTTCCCTCTCTTCCTGTCCCTTGTTCCCTGGCAGCAGACCCCGACCCCCCCGGCTCCCCCCTCCTGTCAGGGAGTTACAGAGCCAGAAGGTCCCCCCCGAGCCTCCTTTTCTCCAGGCTGAGCCCCCCCAGCTCCCTCAGCTAAGTTAATTCTAAGTTAATTCTCAATTTACTTCGACATGCTCTATATGATACAAAACACCTGTCCTAGACCCCCTCGGGTATCAGTAGCTTTGTGAGTTGTCTGTTGGGGAGGATCTTTTTGCATTGTGATCCATGAGATTTTTCCACTGGGATAGATGGAAAATTCCCACTGATTTCCATGGGAGGCACCCACAGAGCACTGCAGCCCTACACCTCAGGAACAGTGGTGGAGTCATGTTCTCAGGAGCAATCGGAGCGTGGCCCGATAACCGCCCAAGGTTAATGTGCAGGTGGAGAAGGAGAAGTCTGTTGGCTCTAAGCACAAGGTTAACACCTTGGAAGCAGCAGAGCCACTGGTATCTGCACCAGGAGAGGGGCAGGGCTGCCCTGATCCCACCAGCACTGCAATCCAGAGCTGTCCCAGAAATGAAAAAGGAGCCAGTGCGCCAGCTCGGATCCTAAAAACATATTGGCTGAAAGAGTCCAGGGAGGAAGAGTGTCAGGATGTGGCTCATGATCTTAGAAGTTACCTGATCTTTTCACGAGCTTTTCTCCACCAAAGTAACATGCACGTTTTGGAAGTTTACCTGCCTTCTCAGTCAGGTTTGTTCTGTAAAAAGTGGGGAATTTGTTTTTTGTAGAAGAGAGCTCGGTGGGAGCGTGTCTGGGTGTGCCTGAGGGAGTACCTGTGCATGTGCATTGGTAAATTAAAACAATATATGTCTGACTGTTTTATCTCTGGCTGGGATATCAGGACAATGCCGATTGTTTGCTCCCAACTTTTTTTAAAAAGCCTGGAAGGTGTTTGAAGGCACGTCTGGAATCCAAGCAATGGTATCGTTGGATGCCACTGACAGGCAGCTGAAACATGTCAGGCATTTGGGGCAGGCAGGATGAGCCTAAACTGGTCACATCTCCACCCCTGTGCATTAAACTTCCCTGATCCCTGTGGGCAGGAAACCTCTGTGGTCCTTCACTGCCAAGGACAGACACCGATTTTTCTGGTCACCTGTGCTGCACATTAATCCAAGATGCTTTCACCCCTGAACCCATTCCCAAAAACCTCCCTGCTCCTCAGTTTCCCAGGGTACAAGGCTGTTGACCAAGGTCAGAGTATGACACCTTCACCAGTTGTGATCATTTCAAAACCAGGGCTCAGTGTGGAAACTCTTACCCTGGAGAGCAGCACCTTTCTAATTTAAGGCACTGCTTATATCAGGAGCAATGGCAGGTTTTCATGTATCTTGTCTGATATGTGAAAGCAAGTTTTCCAGTTAGTATCAAGTCATTGAAAGGCACAATTACTAACACTGGCAAATTTTCTCTTATAGGAAGAATTTTCACTGGCAGAATAAAATTAAGCCAGACTGGAGAATCAAACCTGCTGTTTAAAATCAGAATTGTGTGGGCTGGGCTGGCAGGCCAAAGGTGTGAATGAGTGTCCTTGTCTGCTGGGTCTTTCCACCCTGTTTGTACTGACAGGGCGTAGTTGTGAGGGGAAAAAAATCATCCCTTCCTTTCAGAAGGCAAAAAGCTTTGCCTTTGGAGTGGGTGTGTGTAACCAGCAAGGAGCAAATTGCTGTGGCTGAGCACTGAACAACACAGCAAGATCCACGTGCAAGAGGAAAAGAGGGAACATTCCTCAGTTCAGTTTGACTCAAGGTGCCTGACCGTAAATACTCAGATTATAAATTATTAGGAGGTGAGCTGGGTTTTGCGCCGTTATTTTTTTAAACTAAGTGGTTGTCTTAGCCAGATTTCCAAGGAATACAGCCCAATCCTGGTGGACACATTGGTCTTTACTCGAGCCAAGCACGAATGAGATTCCCACTGACCACTAGATGGCAAATTGTTACAGCAACTTCAACATGTGGTTTTCTTACTGCAGTCTGGATCTTGCTGTCATTAGGCTGGTAAAAGCACCAATAAGGAACAAAACATAAATTAAAAATAAAATGCAATTAATCCCTATCAATCTGTTCCCCAGAAAATAGAAGCGGAGTCAGGATACAGGGGATTAGGATTCTTTCTTTCAGATTTCTCAACCAGTATAATGTTTATTTTCACATGTAATTATTCCCCACTTGGTGATTAACTAAACTAATTTTTTATGTCTTAATATTTTTGATTTTTCTCTCTAATAGATATAGGTATTTATATATTCCATTATATAATAAGACATTGCATTTGCATGAGGTTTATTAATCAAATATTCCAAAGTGTTCCACGTAGCAAAGATTCCCAAGCTCTAACATGAATGAATGAAGTCTTTTCCCTTTCAGAAAAGGGACACAGCAACGGGTTAAGGATCAATCTGACAAAGGCCAGTCCCAAGGTGACCCTGAGCACAGGTAAGGGGGGGCAGCCCCAACACTCCTGAATTTTTATCTCTCTCCTTATCACCACCCTGTTGCCACCAAGAGAAATCCAAGCAGCCTCCTCTGCCCCTGCCCCTGCCCAGTGCTGCTCAGCCAGGCTCCTTCCTTGGGAATGAAGAACCCACAGAGGGGTTATGTGGCTTTTGATGTGGGGTTTTTTGGAGGACACCAGGGGCAAAGGGGATGGAAAACTGGCTGGAATTCTGTAGCCAGGTCTCTGTTCCTTGCAGACAGGTCCTGCCAGTCATGGTCACATCCTCTCACACTTCTGCAAGTCCTTTTCTTTGCCCTTTCTCTCAGCTTGGTAAGAGGCAGCCAAACTCC